ACGGTATCTGTGAGAAGGATTTATTGTATACAGAACTCCCACTTGCTGTCTCACATGGCAGGGGCCACTGTTGAAGCTAGGGCTAGTGTTGACTGTGTTCAGTCAGGCCTGAGAGAGAATGCGATTTATGGACCACTCAATACCTTGAGACGTATCTAGATACAATGTATCAAATCGGTTAGCTATAAATGCATTCCAAATCACAACATTAGTTGGATATGACGAATATTTAATTCTATTAGAAAGATATTTGTCCATAGCTCTGCGAGAAAATACTGGAACTTTAGACTGCTGCGTCGGACTGAGGTGCCTACTCAAAGAACCCGTCACTCCATCATACCACTTCACGAGGTCTGACTGCAATTGCCGATCACCAACTGCGCTCGGCAGTAAGCACCCGGCTCAGCAACAACGAAAAAATGAGTGCCTTGTTTGCCACAGTCCAAACCAATAGGTTACTATTTGCATATTGTATTTATCCTGTTGCTTTCCACTTGTATGAGAAACTAAAGTTTTCTTTGGAAGGTTACTTCTTTGGAAAATTTTGATTAGAACAGCGTCTCACGCAAGATACGTATTGGGAAGCATATTGCTCTTTACCTTAAGAAAGGTGCCTGTCTTTTGCTTTAAAGGCAGGATCAGGTTCCTTTTAAACTGCGTACCAACTGAGATGCATGTTCCATTAAATCCTATCTATATTGAAAGTACGCAATAAAACGACCAAATTAATAAAATCTCTTTGGAATACCCAGATTTTCAAGAAACCCTAACTAATATTAAACAGGAAATTTTAAAAAGTCCAGCATTCATTTTTGGAAATTGATACTTCGCAAGGCTCTTGCTATATTTACGGAATTCCTCACGTCCCCACTCGATAGCGAATTTGAAAAAGAGACAAAAACACAAAATATGTAACGAATAATGTCATTTGAAAAGACGCTAACCAGTGTTAATATGACGTCGCTCAATTACGAATAAGTATAGCATAGTATTTTCATTTTTGTTAAATAAGTTATTTATTTAATCCATTTAAAAGTAAATTACTAGATTTCGGTTAAATTTTGTTCGTTCGAAAGCTTGGACTAAGTACTCGATTTTTTGCCTCGATCTTCACTTTTGCGAGAACTCTCGCTGCGTCTGAGTCCTCTGACAACGTAATTCATTTATCTCTGGAATCGTGCCAGACAAACCTTTGCATTTTTCTATAAACCCTAAACTAGTAAAGCTTGCACAAGGCAAGGCTCTTGAAGAATCTATTTGCTATTTGTGTTACAGAGTAACAGACAATAATTCAAGTGACAAAATAAGTTATCGACATCACGAAATTCAGCCTTCTTCAAAATTTCATTCCGTAATCCACGAGTAGTATTTGTGCCCATTAATTTTGTTGTTTGCTTTGTTTTGTTATTGTCGTACCCTATGTTAACTGATTCAGTTGAACTATAATAGTACTGCCTTAAGTTTCAGCTAAATCCATCGTATTTGTACGCACCTTCTCCTGTTCAAGGTGGTAAAAGATGACCTCTTTGTTGCAACTGACCAACTTTAGTTTATTTGTCCATTTAAAGATTATGTCCAAACCCGTAACCATGAGGATTTCTAAGAATAGCAAACTGCTATTCCAGGTCCCCTTGTACTCTTAGTCTGTATTCCAGACTAAGAAAAAAACGTTCGGCCTCGGATTACGCAGAAAGTTATCCGCCATTGTACATCTAAGAAAAATTTGAGCAAATTGAAACGTCGGCTGTATTTGGAAATACTTACTGGCTTGATATTGCGAGATCATAGAAGTCGTTATATTCTTATATGTCTTTACAACATAGTCGTAAGATAAGCACGATGTCTTACCATTTTATGTTGGCCATCGCTGCAAGGACAGATGAAATTCCGTTACGAATTGAAGGACTATGGGAACGTCGTTGTACCCAGGATTGCACACCAGAAACACAAGGCCCTCCAGGAGAAAAGAATAGCTTTAAATTATTTATTTTAGACTAAAGTTTGCGGACATATTAAATGTGTCTTTCGCACAATCGTTTTTTTGCTATATATGTTGTATTCCTGAAGGTAAAACGAAAAGGTAACTTCGTAAAAAAGATTTTTCCGGGTATAAGAGCTTCAGAGGGCTGGTCTCAAAGAACTGAAATTCCAGCCAACTAATCGGCTTTCTACCTGTCTCCATAAAGAAAGTGAACAAACAAAAACCATTGCTAACACTGAACTTCTTGCGAATATCCCTTTAAGATCTAGCAATGGTCATGGCTGAACCTACAGAAATATACTTCATAGACCTAATAAGCCTTTTTTCAGTGACAGAATTCCACATTCACTCAGCAATTTCAAATAAACAAGAATCCACGAACGGAACTATTAGGGGTCTGCTGATAGTGCTGTCTAGAATATTCCCGAAGCATATCACCGGGTGTTTGGCTACTGCCTCTGTCCGAAGTATGTTTAAACTGTTACTTTATGCCCAGTCGTTGATGAAACTCATTAATGGTTGTGAAAGAAATTTGAATGCCTCTGAAACCCTTTTATTTCTATCAATAACTCTGACCTAAATCCAATTGTAAAACGTTTCACACTCATCAACAGAAATGGTAACAATGCAAACAGACAATTTAGAACGAAAGTGTACCTTGATTGTGCAGTACAATTACTTACATTTACATAACACGGAAAATTCGGCCATTTATATGCCTAGATGCGAATATTGGAGTTACAACTAGTACTAAGAGCAATAAAGATGAAGTTTAAAGCTCAGAAAAACAAGCATACTTTCTGGTGTTTGACCAGTCTTCTTCTTATTTCAGTGTCTGGCGGATGCATCAACTGCTTTATTGAAAACATTTTTTTCAATTGGAAGCGC